TGTTAGATCTCTATTCTGGTATCGAGGATGTTGCTATGTTGTAGGAATTTGTTAGATTTATATTCTGGTATCGAGTATGTTGCTATGTTGTAGTGATTTGTTAGATCTGTATCCTAGTATCGAGTATGTTGCGTTGTTGAAGTGATCTGTTGGATTTGTATGTTATCTATGCTTACCGGTTATCATCTGGTGGAGTGCCCTAGGGACTATCTTTAGTCACGTAAGATAGCCTGAGAACTATTTATCTAGGCTTTCTTGTATGTTCCTTGTTTGGTTGTGGCTCTAGAGTAAGATCATCTGTTCGGGTGGCTATCTGTGACAACCCGAAGTTTTTCCATCGCCGTAACCCGTTCCGCCCGTAAAACCCGTCTTTAGCAATTCGTTCCGTTTTCGTTTTTGGGCTAAGTTATTTAAATTTATATGTTTATTATAATCTCATTAGTGTCCAAACTCCCTAGAAACTCATGTAAACGACCCAAATTATTAATTTGAAAATTTTTAGAATTGGTCCCGTCGGATTACGACAACTTAATCGGGTGAGACCAAAAGCCCCGTTTAACGTCGGTATCGGGTAGAATTCCACCGTGTCCCAAAACCGAACCATATATAAAGTTGATTAAGCCTCATTTGAAGCTTTTTCACTCTCTCTCTCTAACCTCTCTCCTCAAATCCACACTCTAAGTTCAAAAATCATCAAATTAAGGCTCCAAATCATAAAGGTAACTATCCTAGCTCCTAGTATAACATCTTTAGCCTTCAAACTCATGGTTAATCTTTGAAATAGGACCATTATCATGAGTTTACGGCCCTAGAACAGTCCTAGGCCGTGAACTCACATAAAATGGGTTTTGGAGCCCCAAAACCCTTCCAAACCACATTAGGAGCTTAGATATGACTTAGGGGCTTACCAAACTGGACTCATCATTTAAGGATTAAACATGAGTTTACTGCCCAAGAACATGCTTGGGCCGTAAACACCCATTCATGGGTAGTAAACTCCTTCTAAGGTGTTAAATTGCCATTTAAACACACCAATAGCCTTGGAATAAAGTCTAGAAGCAACCACAAACGAGTTAGAGGCCTTAAACTTAATGAAAACCACTCCCATAGGAGATTACGGCTGTAAACCCCCCAAGGATGGGTTCCTGGACTGTAAACTATTAAAACATGGTCAAATGACGCCCTAAATTCCATCCAAGGCTTGTAAAATGAGTTTAAATCACATGTGATTGTCCCAACACCACCAAAACACATAAAGAATGGGTATGAAGGAGCTTACGGCCGTAAACTCCTAGTTTACTGCCGTAAACTCCATTAAATGGTCCATATGTGAGTTTAATCCATTCCTATGCCCTAGATTTGATCCTAGCTAATTTCCCCAAGTGATATTTGACTATTTAGCACCATAAAACCCCTCATCCATGAGTTCACGGCCGTGAACTCATGTGGAGTTGGTCTTAGGTCCAAAAACTCTATAAGGAGTTTACTCTTGAAGAGTAAACACATTATCCAAGCCATATACGTCCGTAGATGTCACCCGGGTCACTCCAAACACTTGATTTGAAGTGTTTTCGCGTCTTGGAGTGTATAATCATATCTAATTAGTGATTTAAAGTCTAATTAGATACATTTGTATATCATTTCATATTACATAGGAACCTCACGCGTTATCAAGCCCTGAACCGACACTTAGCATCCAATCCGACACGCTTCTCGACCGGTGAGTTCATACCCCTACCTTTTTCAAATGTTTTTCAAATGTTTTCAGGGGGGGGGGGGAATACAAGCAAAAGTACAAGGAAATCTTGTACTCAAACTTATTATTTCGGTTCAAATATTTATATTCTGTATGTTTTTAATATCAAAAACTATGTTAACCAAATAGTTCGAATTACGAAGTTAGCTTTCAGACTAATCATAGATTTCTTGATAAAGTGTTACAATCTATATTATATTTCATAATCTACGAATAATTCATACTAATCATCAATTAGAACCAACACGCATACGAATACGAAAATACAACTAAGAACAGAACGAATACGAAAGTATAACTAGGAACAGAACGAATACGAAAATACAACTAAGAACAGAACGAATACAAAAGTACAACTAGGAACATAATGAATACGAAAGTATAACTAGGAACATAACGAATACGAAAATACAACTAAGAATAGAACGAACATGAAAGTACAGCTAGGAACAGAACAAATACTAAAGTAATAATGCGAATACGAATACGAATTCGAATTACGAACACGAATAAGAATAGAAATAGGAGTAGGAATAGGAATACGGATACGAATGCGAATACGAATACGAATACAAATAGAAATATGAGTAGGAATAGGAATACGAATACGAATGCGAATGCGAATACGAATACCAATACGAATACGAATAGGAACACAAATATAAATATGAATACGAATACAAATATGAAATACGAATATGAATATGATTACGAAGAGGAATACAAATACGAAGGCACGCATCTAGGTACATTCAAGTGTAACATAATTGGGATATCATAACACCTAGCTAATATAACAAGTATGATAGATAATTGTACATTACATTGGGATTCAATAACTAAACTTACTTTTATGAAAATAAGGGTTTTTCCTGGGATAATAATTGTACATAACTAGAATCGTGTAACAAAACAGTTAACTAAACTTTACATATAAGAAAATATGGGATTTTCTTAGATAACAAACTTTTTCGGAAAACCAAAGGAAACTTGTACAATTTCAGAAAACAAACCTCTTATGAACTCACCAGCTTTATGCTGATTTTCAAACTGCTTGTATTCTCAGGTCCGCATTAGACAGGTACCCAATGATCCTTTTGGCGAAGACGGAGTACGTAGAAGACACGTCTTTACTTTTGTTCATATGATACATATGTATAACACTTGTAACACTTTACTTTTGAACTGATGTAAATTCTAATATGTAATGTAATGGTTGTTTACTTTGCTTACTATGTACATTGGTTGTGATACTTAACATGAAGTCACCTCCGCCCCGAAACGTTTCCGCCTTCGGTTTCGGGGTGTGACACTATCTCACCTCTAGTTACTTATGGTTACACATTTCAAGGAGGATAGCTGGTAGCAGGACTGTATGTGATGAGAGGACTTGTCACACCCCCAAACCAGAACGGTGGAAATGTCTGGGGGCGGATGACTTTCATGTACAATATCATAACAATTGAATAATAGAGATCAAAGCATTACAATCATCATATTTCTAATTAATAAGTTTACATTGTACTCAAAAACACTGTCTACTTGACATCAATTACATATGACAAAAATAAATAATGTGATGTGACGATGCCCCATCCACCAAAAACTCTTGTGATTACCTGTTTACTGGTTTTCTGAGAATACAAGTGAAAAGTGTCTACAATTAAGTTGGTGAGTTCATAAGCATTTTGTTTGAGAAGGATTTGTAACTATTTCGTGTAAAATGATAGCGTATACTTCCATAAAATCTAATATTTTCTTTAAAAACGAGTTGTAAGTCTTAAGTCCAAGACTAAAAATGTAAGTAATGTTGTATTGGAAAATAGTGTTATGAAGTTTATCTTTATATAAAACTACTTGAATGTATCTTTATAAGTCATGTTTGACCCACTTTTTTCAGAGCAACTCATCTCCACAATACATGCAATACAGGCTTAAATATTCAATGGTGCCTCGTCATTATTATTTATTCATTCATTTCATGCAAGTAACAAAAATTTTAAATATATGTACAACCTTATGTATCACTTATAACCATAAATCCTGCTGAACCTCCCGCTTGTGCCACTTTTGCTTTGATCAGGTAGTAACAATCACCATACCGGATGTGAGTTAAGATTTTAACTGGGTTGGAGTTCCAAGACCTTACATATACACGATAAATCACATAACCCTACAAATTTAGTACCAACCAAAATATTAGCATGAGAAAGTGATTATAAGTATCCAACACTAAAACCCCCTAAATTAAGCGTTCAATAAAACCCTAAAATCGAATCCAATGCCTTCGCAAGTCCAAAACTGAAAACAGAAAATAACTTACGCACCACAATATATTAATAAAAATCTATAATTTACCAAAGGAACAAATGAACATGGGCGAGAGATTGGTTTAATTCCAGTGGAATCTAAACTCAAATTAGAAAAAAACTACATGAATCCCTAAAACTACCTGATACAAAAAACCTAGTAGAAAATCAATCTCAAACTATAGAGTTTTCATTTGAGCATGTTGGATTCATGAGTATTTATCCATTGGAGCAATTTTTTAAAGAAAAACTCATATTTGATCTCTTGGGTATTTTAGGTAGTTATATCACGTCATGTCATTCTCAAACTCTATCGAAATGTTGAGTTTAAACATAGACTAAAATAAAGTAGATGACCTAATTTCTAAGACCTGTGAAGTAAAAAAAAATATGAAATTTACCTTTAACTGTACTTCTTTCCCACATTCCATGTAAAACTGTAACTCTAATTCAACAATAAACACCAAAATCATCGTAATTCATAGGCACATAACTCATTGACACACCAAATATCATGAAAAACTAAAATTATGATGTAAATTGTGGAAAATGTTACAAAATTAACAAAAAAAGTGGGTACCTTTCCCGAAGAATGATAGATTATTGTAGTTTCCATTATCGTCTCTGATTTTGATTTCACGCCAATTTATGCATCTTTAGACCACACAGTAGACATGGAGAAAGAAGAAAACACGAACGAAAGGTTACCCGGATTAGGGTCTGAAACAGGGGATGGTGGAGGAGAACGTTGGTTGATTTGAGGCTGCAACCAACAACGATAATGGGAAGTAAGAAACTCAAAAATAGTTGTGTTGTACCTGTTGTTTTTCATTTGAGCAATTGCAATGAATTCCATAACCACCATAAGAAGAAAAGAGGTGACCTTAATCTCACACAAAGTCTATTAACAATGAATCGCACAGGGAGAGCCGACATTAAATGTATTCGGAATCGAAGCATGACTCGTCGGGTGTAGATGTAGCCAGAGTTGAAGTAGAGTTACACAAAATTAGGCGGACTCGTCGGCGTTGACTATAGTGGAATCGAAGAGTAAAATAGCAGATAAGGATGGGATCGTGACGAAAGAAATGCAGATGAAAGCAGGCAGTGGAGTCAGTGTATGAAACTTGATTGGAGAGCGAGGCGGTATGACAGGGGAGTCGACGACTCACGATTTTAGCCGGACGAAAAGCAGACACATACGATTGAGCTTTAATGCGATGATTTTGACGGTCGTTGCAGTCGACGATCGACGGATCGACACAATGGACGATGAGGCGGTGGAGGGATTTCAGGTTTTGTCCAAGTGATTGGAGAGGAACGGATCGAACTAGGACTTTTCTGTGGAAGAAAGAAAGAGATGGAACGTAGTAGGAAGAATGTGGAAGGTCGTAAGAATTAAAGCGGTGATCGGAAGACATGTACGTATGACACCAATCGATTTTAGAGTTAATACACGTGGTTTCTTCCATGAAGCGGTGGAAAATAGACTACTCTCATTTTTATGGGATAATGGACAAAAATATTAAAAAACAAAAAACAAAATTAGTGGTGGTCTAATAGGAAATAAGTCTTGTTCACTAGTCACTTTTATATATATATATATATATATATATATATATATATATATATATATAGAGAGAGAGAGAGAGAGAGAGAGAGAGAGCTATTTAACCTCACTAGTGAATGATAAGACAAATGCATGGACACGTGGGTGTATTTGATTTTAAAAAGTGCCTAACCTTGACGAGCATGTATGATTACTCCAAATTAGATCACCAAAACACATTTAGTTTTTATTTATTTTTGATTAAAAAGTGGTGAGCCCCCTTTTCAAATCACCGAAACGGAGAGTCTAACACCCCGTTTTCGAGTTTATCAAAAGAAAAGAAAAGAATAGAAAATAAAATCACGAGAGAAAAGAAGAGAAAAAGAAATGAAAACAAAATTTTCTTCTGAATTCCCGAATCAGAAAGAAATAGAAGAAAAATTAAGCATTTACTTATTTCTTTACAAATCCTATAAATTCCGAACACTTCCTTCCACTTTTTTTCTTTAATAAACTCGGACCATTTTGTTTCGTTTCTGAAATGGGTTCAAGAGCTCGAATGATTTTTATTTTATTTTATTATTATTATTATTATTTTAGTTTCTCGCAATACTCTCGCTTACACCCTTTTGTTATGTCCGACTAAAATAAAAACCAACTTAAAATTTATGCTTATATCTGCCTAACAAAAATTGCTCCCAAATTGCACTCGACTGCAGAAGCTAGGGTTCGCACTTTCGCACCCATCATCTCTGTCCAAGAATCCACACCAGCTTCACCGATCGAATTCGATCCTCCAAAGCCCTAATCTAGGACTTGGAGAACGACTACAATTGAGATAATGGACTTCGACGAGTACGAGTACTTAGAGAAGACAGTCGACGAGTCCGACACCAGGAATGGTTCATCTTCGAAGACCAAAGACGTCAGCTCGGAGAAGAGCGAAAAGGGTCACAGGCGGAAGGGAAGAGAAGATGATGGCGAAGATGCTGAAGATGACCGCATTGAAGAGCGGAGAAGGAGCAAGAAATACAAAGGGGACGAAGAGAACGGCGGGAGCAGGAGGGATGTAGACAGAGACCGTGACCATGGCCGTAGCCGTGAGGAGAGGTCTTCCCGGTCTGAGCGTCACAGAAGTAGTGGTAGGGATGGAGAGAGAGACGTCGAGAGAGAAAGAGAAAGGGATCGTCGGAGAAGCAGTAGGGATGGCGACAGAGAGAGGAGTTCCAGAGGGAGGGATAAGGACGATGATAAAGATAAAGAAAGGGAGAGGAGAGACAGAGACAGAGACAGAGATAGAGATCGAGAGAAGAGGGATAAGGAAAGGGAAAGAGAAAGAGAAAGGGAAAGGGAGAGAGAAACGTCTAGAAGGAGCCGAAGTCACTCAAGGCTTGAACGTGAACGAGAGAAGGAATTGATACGAGAGAGAGAAAGAGAACTCGAATCAAGAGAGAGCAGGTGAACAAGTCTTCCATTTTTATATCTTTTGTGTTGATTCATCTTTCTAGCTGTGTTCTATATGATTTGTTGGTTCTTTGTCTGATTGAATGCTCAATATTCCTATAGTACTTGTAGGTTTCTAGTTATACATCTTGATGAATCCATGCTAAAGAAAAAAAAAACGCATCCCTTAAAAAGAAACACAAAGCTATGCAAAACAAATTTAGCTTTTAGCGTTAGTGTTAGCTACCAAGTTTCTAACTTGGATTGAAATCGTAGATGGATTGTTTGCACATACTAATGGGCTAACAATGCGGATTCACTGAAGAAAAAAGTGGGCTTTATAAGGTCTGTTTGGTTCTTATTTTTTTATAAAATCTGTTTGACCCTTTAGAAATTTGGCTCAGATTCAAATATTCAAATTGTGAGTGGAGATGTTTAACGAATGATGTATTTTATTTTTAGGTTGGCAAACACATATGACATATGGTGTGCTCTCACTCTCACAATCTTTGAAGTTTTTGTTCATTGAGAAGACATTCATAAAATCATAATGACAGATTATCAAACAGTGTGTTTTGTGTACCTTTAAATCTTGATTTTGTACTTATTGTTCTTTAAGTTTTTTCACATGACAGGAGACTTAAAGATAAGAAAGATGCAGTAGAGCCAGAAGCAGACCCTGAAAGGGATCAAAGAACCGTTTTTGCTTATCAGGTTTATAATTGTTTCTGATGTTGTGTTTCTAAATTCTAAACAAAGTTTATATTTTTATCAACTCTTGTGTTGACATGCATATATTTTTTTTGTTGTTGTTTAGATGCCATTGAAGGCAACTGAATGGGATGTTTACGAGTTTTTTTCTAAAGCAGGAAAGGTAAATAAGTAAATACAACAAGTAGTGTTAATTTTTCTTTAGTTTTAATTATTTTGTTTTAAGTTTTGTTTATATTATCTTTTGTTTATGTAGGTGAGAGATGTGAGATTGATCATGGATAGGAATTCAAGAAGATCAAAAGGAGTCGGGTGTGTTTGTGTCTCTTTTGAAATGCTTTTTTATTTCTATTATTCTACAGATGAAGATGTAAAAGTTAATGTATTTTAATTTTGGTGTAAAATTTAGGTACATTGAGTTTTATGATGCAATGTCAGTGCCAATGGCAATTGCCCTTTCTGGTCATTTACTTCTAGGGCAGCCTGTGATGGTGAAGCCTTCAGAGGCTGAGAAGAATCTTGTTCAGTCTACCGCCACAAGTGGGGCGGCAGGTGGTGGTGCTGGAGCCTTTGGGGCAGTTGACCGAAAGCTTTATGTTGGAAATCTTCACTTCAACATGACTGAGTTGCAACTCAAACAGGTAAAAAAAAAATCAATAATACACTTTGCATAGTAATTAATGGCAGATTAAGTTACTCTTTGGTATTGATCTTTATGATGGAATTGTGGAAGGAATGGAATGTGTGATTCCATTCCATTGGAATGAAGAATATTTATTTGGTAAATAATTTGAAAGTAAAATGCTTGAATTTGGTAGGTATTATAAATGCAATGCGAATGTGATAATAAAAAAAATATCTAAAGTACAATGCTGCAATAAAAAGAAGTGAAAGTAGGATGCTTATAAGATAATTATGAGTAGCAAAAATTAAGATTTTACATTTGTGATTTTAATTAATATTATATGATCCTTGAATTTAACTATTTTTTTTATGATCTCAGATTTTTGAAGCTTTTGGTCCAGTTGAGCTTGTTCAACTCCCCACTGACCCTGAAACAGGGCACTGTAAAGGTTTTGGGTTTGTTCAAGTCGGTATTAATTTGAATTTTTTTTTTAAATTATTTAATAATGTGTTTATTAGTAATTTTTAATTTTTTAATCATCCATTGACATTAATATAAAATCCTTAATCTCTTTTCATGAAGTTTGCTCAACTTGAGCATTCGAAAGCAGCACAAAGCTTGAATGGGAAGCTTGAGATTGCTGGTCGAACTATTAAGGTCATCATTTTACATTTTACATTTTTTTTTTCTTTTATTTATAGCTTCTAATTTATTTTAATGATATTAATTTTTTTGTTTTCAAATTTTGCTGGTTGTATTTGTAGGTGTCTTCAGTTACTGATCATGTTACTGCACAAGACACAGGAGCAAAAGCAGCAGACTTTGATGATGATGATGGTGGAGGTTTGGTGAGTCCATATAAATATATAATTCCAAATTTTTTTAAAAGAATTTTATTTATTTAAAGCAATCTTGCTTTTAATTCATTATTTTTTTTTTAAATATATAGGCACTAAATGCTCAATCAAGAGCTATGCTTATGGCAAAACTTGATCGCAGTGGTATTACCACAGGGTATGTTTTATGATCTTCAATCTGAGTTTGTTTAGTTACATGGGTCAGGGGCGTTTTCGTCTTTTTGACATTTTTGAATGGTTGTTTGCAGTATTCCTGGGGCTATCGGAGCACCTATAGTTAATGGATCTGGTCCAATTCAAGGAGGTGGTTTAGGCATGAATGTGGCAGCAGCAGCAGCTACAATTCCAATTTTGCCCCCACAAATTGTCTCAGAGCCAATTGGAAACCCTAGCGAGTGTTTGCTGCTAAAGAATATGTTTGACCCTGCTACTGAGGTATGTTCTTTTCTTTCTCAAAAATAAATGTTCACACAATATTATTTATTGGTTTGGAAGAAATTTATTTATTTAATTATTTTTTTGCAGAGTGATCCAGAATTTGATTTGGACATCAAAGAGGATGTGGGAGAAGAATGCTCCAACTATGGAAGGGTGAAGCATATATATGTTGATAAGTATGTCTTCTAACATAACATTGTTTTTTTTTTTTTTTTTATTTGTTTATTAATCTGTTTCATTGTATATAAGTTGTAAAAAATATGCATCATTATTCATTATTTCATATTCATATTATTACCTAATGAAAAAAGGAATCAAGTTATTATGTGAACAAACCAAACCATCTGAAAAAGATAGATAATCTAAACAAGTTTGCTATGCAAAGAAGAAATAACCAGGGGCAAAATTGTCATTTTCTTAATAGGGAAAGTGCTGGCTATGTGTATCTACGATTTGAGAGTGTGGAGGCAGCCTCACGAGCTCAACAGGCAATGCATAAAAGATGGTTTGCCCGCAGATTGATTTCAGCCATTTTCTTGGTATTATTATTATTATTATTATTATTATTATTATTACTTCCTATTTTTATACATTCAACTATTTTCTTATTAAGGCATTGTATGTATAATGGTGTTTGTTGTAATGAAAACTGCAGCAACCATATGAATATGAGGCCAAGTTCAAAGGTGTTGCTGCTTGATGAAGAAGATGAAAGTTTTATTATTATATTATTATTATTATTTTCATTTTAAGGTTTTGGTTTTTGTTTAGGAACCTGGAAACTGTGTAATCTATGCATGTATAATGAATGATTCTGAAAGTTTTATTTTTCTTCACATTTATGTAAGAATCATATTCAGGTTGCTTTATCATATCTTTGATTAAAACCTGCATTTGCATGTATATCAGATAAAGATGCTTAGGTCATTTGTTAGAGTAAATTACAGTTGTATGGAAAACCAAGATTTTGTAGAAGATGAGGGCAAAACGGTCATCCTTGTAAATTGCTATGAATCAACTTTAAGATGAAATCACAAACAATCAAATATAACAAAAGCTTTGCTGTATTCATTTAAACACTCACAATACCAAAAGAACAAAACGATAATCTGATGGTTTGCTAGATTCGAGAGCCTAGCCTTTCGCAACATATGAGATACCAGATTTCTCACGAAATAGAAGATATCTACATACCCTCTACCCTCTTATAAACACTGATGCAACAAACTTAATGTAATAAATGCCCAAAATACCCCTCCCACATAAAATGCTCTTTATTTTGATGATTTCCCGTGTTATCTCTATCTCAATACCCACCCCCAAAGAATCACCTTGTCCTCAACGATGGATAGAAAGGTGTATAGCATCAAATCTCCCAGTGTTACCTCTAAAAGATCTATATGCTCATGAATTATTATAAAATAATATTTATTAATAACATATGATCATATTGGATCACATCTTATATCTGATAGAAACTTATTGGTTATTTATTAGAATTTGGTTATTAATAAATATTACCAACTCTTGTATTTAATTGGAAATTATAATTTTATGAAATTAATATTTTCCAAGAAAGAACAATTAATAACTCACAATGTATGATTTATATGTTGTGTACACTAGTTAAAGTTCATTTATATAATATTTCACGACACATACACATGCTAGTTAAAGAGATGGAGTAAAAGATACTATTCTTTGACTTTTTTTAGTCAAAACCGTGGACGTCCCTATGATGGGAGAGTATTGCTTGTGAAGTAATGTCTTATACTCCCATGCTTCTCTTTTGAGCCATGCTTTCATTTAATTAAGGTATGGTCCATAGTACATGCATGCAACTATATAAATTGCCAATAAGTTCGATTATTCCTTATCTTTTCGCTCTAGAACCGTGGGTTCTTCTTCATTCTCATTGGTTTCCTTTGAAGAACTAGTGAGTTAGTTGGTGATAAATAAGTGCTTCTCCTTAAGGTTAATTCGGTATTAGTTCTTAAAGGTTTAAGAAGTATTTAATACTAGAGAAGATTAACATCTTTGGTGGCTAACACTTGCTTGGTGGATACATATAGAGGAGCTCTACTTTGGGCCTCTCTTGTCATCTTCATCAACTTTCAATGCCTCCAATTGAGGAATCAAAGTCTACAAAGTTTGTTATTATTTTCATTCTATGTTCGGTTTAATATTTATGTGTTTGCAAAATGATCATTGGTGGGTATAAAATGATTTTAAGTTTATTCAAAATTTAACTCTTCAATTGCCGTTTTTAGCATTTTTAGAAAATTTGTGTTTAAATAAAACTCAATGATTAGTATCAAAGCCATTTTTGCATGCATGGTTATATTGTAAGATTATTTGGTATAATCTTTGTTTTTATAAAACATTTATGATTTTCTTTTAGAAGAAATATCATACATATTTTCTATGACAATTTTAAAATGCATTTATGGTTATAAAAGTTGTCATACAAAAAGAAAGTGTTGTTTTATGTGTGAATGAACATATTTTGCGCATAAACTAGCCATGAACCATTTGTGATGATGTTTGTGTTGATTTGTTAAAATAGTTGTAATATTTATTTATTCATATGGTATGTAATAATTAAATAAATAGTGTTCATTTTGTTTATATTTGTAAGTAATAAATTAGTTTTAGAATAGTTTATTTTATAAAAATGTAACAAGATTGAAGATGATGACCATTTTGAAGATCAAATGTACATGCATTTGATTTTAGTAAAGTTTTATAAACTTTACAAATCATTTCATGAAATTGCTATAAAATGTTGAAACAAGTGGGAGCATGAAGTGTTGGATTAGGTATCTAAGCTCATAATTATAATTAGTATAAACTTGAATTGATAGTAGCACAATCCTTTTGGGTTGCCTTCAAACCTCGCAATTATACATGATGATTTTTTTTTTTTGAGAGAGAGGTTGATTTATTATTTGATTAATAAAGTTGAAATAAATAAGTTGTTAATATATTATGAAAATAATATATTAATTAGAAATAATATCATTTAATTAATAATTAATTAGAAATTAATTTGAATTAACTTTGGGATTAATGAATTTAATTAAAAGCACAAAGTCTAAAGTGCAATTATTCAATAGTTGAACAAAAGGCTCCAGAACCTTCCACCAGGGTGGTGGATGGTTTCTAGGGGATAATATAGAGTTTCTAGATTATCCCATGTGGATAAATATAGAGTCGGATAATTACCAATTTGAAATATTATTATTATATTCAAATTAGGGTTATCTAGGGCTTCCTTGTACCACTATATAAATGACCATAGCCCTTCATATTTCTACCACTCATACTCTTAGAGAGATAGATGAAAATTTTTCATCCCCTCTCCTCTCTCCATAATCTTCTTCTTGCTAGCTTGGGTGTGAGCCATTAGAAGCACGATATTTGTGGTGCTTGTTTTCAAAGGTTCTACAAGTCAAGGATAATTATTATTTACTATAATAACAACAAGGTATGTAATCCTAAACCATTTGTTATGCTTTTCGAAAATTACCTAGGGTTTCTATGGTTCTTATTTTGACGTTCTTAGTTATAGGTTCAATAAAGAAAACATAGTTCATGTTTTAGGTTGCATACACACTTAAGAGTTTTAAGTAGGTTTTTGTTATGCCAAAAACCCATCAGTGATATCAGAGCAAGGCTTGCTTTCAATTGAATTTGCTATAACTGTTGAATTGATTAAATTGGGGTTTATGGAAATTAAACGCTAAAAGGCTTAAATTTTCGAAATTAGGGTTAGGGTTTTGAAATCCTATCCTTCCTCCCTAAGTTTCGAAATTAGGATTAGGGTTTTGAAAACCTAACCTTCCTCCCCAAGCAATTTCGAAAATTGATAGGTTATTAGGGTTTTTCAAATTTTAGTAATTATCATTTTACTTGCCTAAAAAGAGATAATTAAAATGGGATAAATCCAATACTATATATTTTCGAAACTTTAGAGGGTATGGATTAGGATTAAATTAATTAGTTAATCCTTAATTGGTTTAATATATTTAATTAATTGTTAATTAATAGATAAATATTAAATCATTTGGTTTATTTTTTAAATTTAAATTATTTATTAATTTTCAAAATTTAATTATAAACCTAGTATTTTGAAAAGTTTTAAATTACACCTTATACTATATGTAAAATTAAAAGTTTAACAATTACTATATGTATAAGACTAAGTCAGTCGAACCGCTAGTACGTCTCATTCACGAAGTTAGTCTATAAGGGGGGTATAAGGAAATTGCCTATAAAATGGTAGTTAAATGGGTGTCCACTCTCGCTCACCGATTCCTCGATTAGTAGAAGCTCATTAGCCAAACGGGTTTGATAGGACAATTAATTCTCATTAAAAGTACTAGAACCTTCTTTTATTAAAATCTCAAATCTAGTTACTTTAGGAAAAATCTGAATTTATATACTAACCAATGAAATTGCACATTACACTTTATAAGTCGTTAATAGAGCGTGTGTGGTTAACTGGCACACTAGTAGGGACTAATAAAGAGTTGTAATGGGTATCTCATAAATTATTATTGTTGATGGAGCATGTGTCATTTACCGACACATCAATTGTGATGATAAATGACAATGAGGTTACTAAGCACATTTGCATGGTTATTCACATCTTGTTTGTGATCCTCGCTATCCCATTCACAAATAGAAGAGCATAATCAGATATTAAACATGTCATTGAATAGTTTCAATAAATCTCAAAAGATCTAGGAATTTCATCAAAACTTAATTTAGTTTTCTGTTGGTGGAATTGGTTAATCGTCATTTACCTACCTTTATATAATTTACAATTAGATTACGACATCCATTTTCTATGTTATGAATTATTTAGTTGGATCCTAGCCTTAATATTTCATTTTGGGTTACTATATTAAGGATTATTATTATCTAACTAAAACTACCTTCCTTTTATAGATGTCTACTCCAGATGATGCTTTTGGTTTCTCCTCCTCCAATCAAAACTTCTTGTTCTTGAACATCAGCTCGAAGGTGACATTGGATGGCACCAATTACAACGACTATTTGTGCAACATCAGAATGACCCTTCATAGCACAAAACCAACTATCATGCCTCATAATAAAACTTCAGTTGGTGTACCACATAACATGAAATGAGCCATCCTTGGTGTCTTAGACCCATTGGTATGGTGAGGAGACTCACATTTGTCTGCTGAATCTGAAAGTTGCTCTCCTAACAGTCTGTAACCACCCGTGCTAAACAATAATAACATTACCAAAGGTTAGGAGTGAACACAATCCAATTGAAGAACCCAAACCCCAAGTCCTTTCATAATGGCCCAAAAGTCCTCCTTTGCTAATGAGCCTAAAGTCTATGTCCAAAATCATTAATGGGCCTCATGGCCCAATAAAGCCCAACCATAGTTCCCATGGCCCAAAACAGATAAGTTGGCCCACTAACTCCAAAACATGACCAGTCCCAATGACTAATTAACTCCCAAAAGCTTACAAGCCCAAAACAATTACAAGCCCTTCTGAGATGTGTACGCCTTGCGTACCACACTGGCACACGCAGCGTACTGAGTCCATGGATTGTACGCGCCGCGTAATCAAACTTACGCCCAACGTACAAACAGATTAAGCACTTTCTTTCATTAAGTGCATAACACTCGATGTTCTAACGTCCAATATCATATTTGAGTTCATTAAGACGTCCTAGGGCATAAAGTTGGCAACTTTATGCCCTTGCATGCTATATAGGACTTAAAAACTTCATTCTTCACATTAGAACTTCATATAAAGATTCAAATTCATTCACAGAGTCTAGATACTCTTTAAGCTAGCACCTTTATGCATCTAGCATGCTCACAAAGTTCAGATCTAACCATTTCAGCCTCTGGAGTTGCTCAACTCTCAAGAGAAGGTCCAAAACCAACTAAAGGGACAAAATAGAAAA